TCACGTGTATTTTTTTACTCTGAGGCAGAATATGGCACTTTGTCAATTTTTACAAGTGTTATAAAAAAATGCTCACTAGACATAAAGGTCTTAGTGTGTTTATATATTTACTTTTTTGTATTTCCCTCATTTTATTTCAGTCTTTATGTTCTGCAGTTGTGTTTATTGTGCATTTCTAAAGGGACTGTCATTCTCCTGATTGAATTTTATTTCATGCTCCCTAAGTTGTATTTAAAGGATATAATAAAGGATATAATAAATAACACCACCTCCCCCATCTCGCCAGGACAAAATTCACATGTAGGCAAATGCACATTTAATTAGATTTTGTGTTGTTTTTGTTGTTAAAAATGTGCCAAGGTCCACACAACCAGCAGTGTGACCACAACAAGTCCTTTGTGTGTCAGCTCGGTGGGGAGATGTTGACTCCCTCTCCTGGTATGCAGGAGCGCGTGGCTTCAATCCTCATCCTGACGCCTGTTTTTAAATCCTTTATATTAAGTTCACTTGCTTGCTTGCTTGCGCGCTTATGACCGTGCAAATCTTTCGGTCGTTTTTTAACCCACTTCCCGTGATCCAATCGAGCTGACATTTTCCACACAGACTCGTTGTGCGTGACAATTTATTTTCGTGAAAAAAAGATTTCCAAAATTTAACACTTTTTAGGAAAAAATAAATTATATTTAATTACCAATTGCTTAATGGTGGCAGGCAATCATCTGACCCATAGGTGGCAGCCATCTCAAGCCAGAGGACGAGAGGACTCTAGCCGCCACGCATATAAAGGATTTATAGTGAAAAACTTTGTTTTTACGGGTTAATTTTTTATGGAGTTTGTGTCTCTCTCTCCCCGTGGTCACGTGGGTTTTTTTATCCGGGGCCTCCAGTTTTTCCCTCCATGTTTAGAAACATGCGTCTCGACTATGTGGATGCTCTATATGCCCACGTGATAAGCCACTTCGTTGGGCTATCATTTGTGACCAGGTCACTTCTGAAAAAGAGCTGTACAGGCTCAGTGAGCCTTGCCTGGTAAAATAAAAAATAAATTGTTTATAGCTTAGTTTATCACGATCAAAGGTGGAATATGCCCTTCATTGTTTAAATGTCGGATTGTGTTCTAATGAAGAAACACATCGTCATGTGATTGGCCTTCCCGTGAAAGAACTGTTTCATCTACCAACGGTAGGCATTTATAAACAATACGAAACAAAACAACAAAACACTCAAATGATGTCCCCATGGCACTCACACTACACAACCCCTTCGGCACTGCCAAAATCCTCGAGCGTGTCGCCTCTGTGACCTGCTGTATATTTGCACAGTGCCACCTCGCGTTGTGACACCGCCGTCTCATTACAGCCACGGGCGACTTTTTCGCCACCCTGAATGGGTCTCAAGCGGCGTGGCCACGACGCTAGAAGCTGCTCATCGCAGTGAGTGGAGGGAAATCTCTCACTGGGACGCCTTCACAGCCGCCCCGTGACCTCCCCGAGGCACAAAGCAGACTGTGGCGTTGCAGCGGTTTCTAATATGAACAACTTAAAATGTTCTTCTTGGTCCTTTCGGTAAAGTCACGTACAAGGGAAATAATACAATAATAAAAATCAAACATAATAAGCGTCCGAACGCTGTCTTTCCGACAGCCATGTTCTTTACCTGAGGACGGCTGCTTGCGTTGTGGCCGAAAGGTCGTGAGAATTTTATTTTATTATGTTTATTTTATTATTTCCCTTCTACGTGACTTTACCGAAAGAACCAAGAAGATGAATCCCTGCAGTCACGAAAGCTTTAAATCGAAATTTAACTTAAAATATTATCTTCCTGGGGCAATTCACATTGAAAGAATCCGGTAAAAAAAAAAATGTAGACATAACAAAACTATTTATAGGAAAGTCTTTTTTATTTAAAAAAATTATCGTCTCCAGCTGCTTAGTGGGGCAGCGCACCAACGCCCCATAGTGTACGAACCGTGCCTGAAACCTAGCAACTTGGCTTCGAGTCCCAGTCGTGGCAAACACTCGTGGCGAGCGATATCTGAACTTGTCTTGGGCCTCCTCCTTCACCAACCCGCACCAACCAGCGTGGTGAACTATGGTCAAGCAACCCCGATGCCAGTATGGCACGTGAGGGGGGGGGGAGCCTTAGTCCAGCAGAGTATTACAACGGACCGTTAAGTCACTAAACTCCCACTGAGAATTACAAATATTCTCATTTGACAGTCGTGCGGCAAACAGTCTCAGAGAAGAACAGAAAAAAAGGCAACGTGAAGGATTTTATGGGAAGTCCCGTGTAAAATCCCTTAATCAGCTGCTGCACCGTGAAATTTCCGATGGGACCAAGCATCAGATCAAATAAAAAACGCCTAACTGATTACAATCTGCGAGTGGAGTTCAGAGACGATAATGTTAAAGCCACAAGGTAGTTGGTTGGCCAGTGTCCCAGTGTCATAAGCAGTCAATTTAAATGTGTGCATACACACGAGCCTTTCTCAGGACTTGGCATATCCCATTATAATTTAAATGCATGCATACAAAGTGCCCCGGCTGGAGGCTGATCGCATTTAATGTACCTGTCAACAGCGCTGTTTTGTTGAGCAAATATTAGCACGGAAAATTACCTTTCAAATAAAAAGGAGTCGTTTTTTCTATCCATGAAATTAGCTCTTACCGTCGGGATCCCATTAAGGGATCCCAGTCAATCCACTCGACACTTGTCTGTTTGGAGAAAGGATTATTTTAATTGGCAGCTGTATAATATATATATTTTTTCACACTTCATTTGCATTGAGATAGACTTACCTCATATATGATTCTTCAATAAGGTTATTCTAATCTTTCCTGTCTATGCCCTTCGTTAAATTAATAATTAATCACAGTTTACAACGCGCGCGCTGTGTCGATTGTGGGTGGCCGTTGGACCATTAACTTCACCGCCCTGCGCAGGTCAATGAAAGGAGGATCAAACCAGGACCAATTGAGATATGAATCGACCACGAATGCATGCTAGCCCCGGCTGGGAATTGAATTCAGCCCACGGAGTTCTATTGCCGGAAAGGAGGAAGCGTATTTTATTGCATCAACAGATCACAGGGTCGCAGAACCTGCAAGGCTTTTGGAGCCTGTGCCATTCCCCTAGTGAGTTTAATTGCTGCTGTAGGGCTGCCACTGGAGTTTAAAAGACACCACCCTGGGGCCAATAGGCTCTGCTTCGTTCGTCACATTATAGCCTGTGGCAGATAAACTCACTGTGGCTGAAACCCTGCGGAATGAGCAGCAACAACTCTGATGTATGTTTTACTATTCCACCAGTGAGGGCAGGTGTTTGATGTGGTTCTTTTTGTTCGTTATTTTTGTGCATGTGTGTCTTTTTGTGTTTTTTTGCAACAGAACAACAATATTGCCGTACAACTTTTTGAAAACTTTGCGGACTTAACAGCGGTTAAAAGTTAACTTCAACAATGTTCATACTATTATTCTTGAGCTGTCAAGATTTTAAAAAATGTCGTTATAATAGTTTGTGACGGCATGAACCGTCTCATTCTTTGACTCGAAAATACTTTTTTTGCGTGATTAAAAAATTAAACAATATTCAACTCTTCAAAATATAGACTGAAAAGGATAAATATAAAACAGAAGCCATGTCCTAGTCGGACCTAGTCCTCCACATCAATGATGCAAAGTCCCATCGTGTGCTTTCTCTCTGCACATGTAAATAAAATATGTTTTAGTCATTCGGCCTTTTGGCTTTCCAGACCAATATCATCCAGCTGCGTTCGTTTCTAAGCAGGTAAACCCTGGACCAAGCTCTGCTGATGAAACCCAGAGTTTCCTCGTTCGGCATTTTGGTGTCGCTCCGTGTGTACGGAACTTCTCCAGAAACTGCATCAGAATTCAGTTCCTGAAAAAGTTTGATGCCTGATGTTTTGCTTCACTTGCTGGCAGCTTTTTTTATCCTCTGCCGGACATCGTTCGGCATCACCTTTCATATCCACCTTTCCCCTACGCCATACCTCTATGATCTCATCTCTCCCTATTCTCCCCACCACTGTTCGAGAAGAAACACTGCATTCTATTTCAATTGTACCAGTATGTGGTGAGAAATGTCGGACATCGTGCCGAGCAACCTCGACACGCAAAGGAGAGCTATGCCCTGTACAACCACAATGCCTACACAGTCCTACACTGGCAACCCGCCAGATCGCTTCTGTGCATTTTTGCCAACAAACCCTTGATAGATTACTTATCATTTCTTATCGTATCTTCTTATCGAAACGTAATTTATATAGCGCCTTGACCGAGGCGCTTTACAGAGATTTAAGAATGGATGTAAAAATGGTACGTACGAATGTAATGGCGAAGATGAGATCAATGGAATAGATGAGAGGAAGTAATCGGCGAACCTGTGATGCATGAATTAGGTAAAATCAATCTTGAAAAAAACCCAGCCCTTAGTGAATCCTCTGCTGGGTGATGGCCGTGTTGTCTGCACCACCCCCACACCATGTTGTCAAAGAGTTTGACCATATTTCATCGCTTTGGCTAGCGCGTGCGTGTTCTAATGTCCTTTTGCGGGGAGATTTAAACCCAAAAAATATCCCGTGCAGGAAAGTTCGCAGTCAGCATGTTGCGAAGGTTTCGTGGGAATAATAACAATCATTTACTGCCTCTACCCGCATGGGCAACCCTAAACCGCATCCGCGCAAACTATGACAGCAGATGCGGTTACTTGATGCACAAGTTGTGATATGTACAACTGTGTCACCCAGAACAGACCATGGACTCGGTGCCCGATTCACAAACACGGAGGGGCATCGTCACGGCGATACGCTCCGCTACTCCTGACGCAACCATCTGGATCAACCACGTCAATGTAAAAATCATAGTTGTCGTGCTTATCCATCAACGTCGGCCGTACAAGGAAGAAAGACAAATTATGAATATGCAGCGTAAGGAGGTGCAATAGTAAAAACATTTATCGGTTTGTGGGCGCGTGTCTGACAGCTGCTGGGCATCACGCTGCTGCTGCTGGGCGCGTACTCCGAGGCGGAGCGGCAGCGTTACCGCACGCTCGACGGGAGCTTCCTGTCGCCGTCCATCATCCTCATCGTCGCCGGCTGCATCTCCTTCCCCGTGTCGTTCCTGGGCTTCGTCGGAGCTCTTCGCGACAACCTGACGCTTCTGCGCATCGTAAGTGGGCGCCTCTCGTGATCGAGTGGGCGTACGATGCCCGGTTCCCGCCGAGCGCCCGACGCGGTTGAAAGCGAAGTCGCAGGGTTTCGAGCGAAGCCTCGCGTCCCATCGGTGCATTTGCACGTGAGGATTGCTGTGCGGCGAGCTGCAACGACGACGACTCGATTGGCGCGTTTGAACGCTTGCACGCGTGTGTTGCAGTTTAATTGGCTCGGTCAGATCGTTACGAAGCGTCGCCCCAACAAAATCTATCGTGAGTCAAATCATTGTTGGGCTTGGAAAGCCAACGGGTTAAAACGGAGATGCTAGTCGACTCAAAATTGGAGAGTTGTGAGTGCGCGTTGCAATTCACGGTGTCCCCAGGCCAAACATTGCCAATTGTGAATTGCCCTTTTCATAACGGTCAGCCGAGTAAATTGGTAAAGCCAAAGGTGCAACCCTGCAGCGGCTGACATAGACCACTGTTGGTAGCAGGTCCTTCGCTAAACAGAGCTATACAGAGCCCCCCCCACCCCCCTAAGAGAAGGTATTTGGCCTACTCTTCCAAATTTGGCATAATATGATAAAATAAGAATTGGAACTCATAGAATTGTCTAAATGCATCCAAATATCAAGACGCTGCCCTCTAGGTTCCTTCCAGATGCAACAATTGTCTGTGAAAGAAAATGACCAAAGACTCTGAAGAGATTTAGTGACGAGTCATTTTTTCTCATTAAACAAATGATTGTCATATCCAGGTGGTATCCCTGTTCTGGTGACGATGGATTAGAGAACATACGAAGGTTAATAAAATAATAAAAATAAAACATAATAAAATAATTCTCAAGACCTGTTCTTCACCTGAAGACGGCTACTTGCGTTGTGGCAGAAACGTCGTGAAAATTATTTTATTATGTTTTATTTTTATTCTTTTATGAATTTCTTTTTACGTGACTTTACCAAAAGAACAAAGAAGATGAATCCCTGCAGTCACGAAAGCTTTAAATCGAAAAATACGAAGGTTAATGACGTAAAAATAAGTGGACTTTGCCAGGACGTGCCAGAAAAAATGGTCGATGGTTAAGAGTAATGATGGAGCAAAAGCGAAGGGATGGAACGAATCTGAAAGGAGATGGAGTGATGAAATCAGCTCGTGGGCAGATACTAGGTGTATTATTGCGCGGGATAGCGACGGATTTGACGGGAAGGCCTTTATCCAGCAGTGGATTGATCGTGGCTAATGACGGTGATGCATGGGGTGGTTAGTATCCCTCTGCTGGTGACCTATGTGGTTAGGCAGCATTTCATTTTCGATATTGTCACAGTTGCATGCTGGGATACTTGTTAATATCACGCACTTTAAGAGGGTCGCGAAGGCCACAGCAGCGTTAGCAGGTCATGTTGCACTCATTATTGAAATTCCAACGCTGCGCTCCCATTCCCTGTGGTGGCGACACAATGATTTGACTCGGAGGTGTAAAGCCAATGCGGCTAGCCAGTAAGTGGTTAGCAGCATTGGCGGGGGGGATTATTCTCGAGGTTCTTGACGCAGTCAATGGAAATAGAATGTCAATCGCTTCCGCCAGCAGCCCGTTACAATTCAATTGAATGTCCTCGCACGCAGGACGTTGATGCCCATTCGGGACGCACAGATTCACAGAGACGGAGAGAAAAACCAAACCTGAATATTACATTTGCCGTGCAAATAAAAACTCCTTATTCATAATAAACGTTTTTGGGTTAGATCGCGTTATTTATAAATGTGTCGTAACCCTCCACCACCCGACACGGCCAATCAGCAAAAAAGTGTCACGTTGACAAAAGACAAATAGTTCACTACTTTAGCCCACCGGTGTGTTGAAGAGTGAATCTACAACATTTACAGTTTTTGAGTAGTACGACGTTTCGCTGGTAATTACATCCAGCATCATCGGGCTTCACCATTCGCCAGAATGGTGAAGCCCTCACTTGCTCCCGGTATTAAATTACAGTAAAAACTCCCTACTTTGATTTACATGAGTGAGACATTCAGTTTAACACGTAGACAGAGGTATTGTTGAGATTATTTCCGCGCGACAGGGCATCCCGAGTCGCGCGGTGGTAAGAGGAGTGCGTGTTTTGCTGATATTTATCTGTTGACGAGAAACTTGACGCCTGGATCAGAAATGTAACCATTGACAAAACAAGAAAAGACAAAAGCAGACACTAGGCGGGGGGGGGGGGGGGTCAGAATAAACATTTGGATACATGAAGAGGAGCCACAAGGTAAACACTTAATATTGACCGTTTAAAAAAATAAAATTAGTGGGCTTTGACAGGACACATGGGATTTTTATTAACTACATTTTTTTTTATTTTATCAGGTGAACTATATTGGATATTTTTTAGAAGTGATCTGGCCCTCAGAAATGAAAGCAGCCAAATGCTCTGAACGCATGTTGCAAAATCCACGCGACCGCGGGGAGAACATGCAAACTCCAAATGTGCAGGCGTCCAGGGTCGGGGTTGAACCCACGACCTCCTGTATACCAGGCGAGGTAGTTAACATTTCGCAACCGTGGCACCCCTACTAATAATGGAATGGCAGTCCAAGGAGTGAAGTGGTGAGCACACTGACCACCAGGCAATACAAACCGTAATGCTCGTCATGTTTATTGTTGCTATTTGTGCTGAGATTAACGTGTGCTTGCCAGTACACTCACTGCCTCGATCTTTGTTCGCGAGTATAGATTTGCCACTCGTTTGCTATTAGTTAACGCTGAAACAGCAACGATAAATGACTTCAGAATTGATTGCCCGCCCGAAATAAAGATCAATACTTTATCACAGTGCAAAGCTTTTGCCAAAGGCATTAAGAGCTATTGCTGAAATATACCTAGATACTCAGATTAGTTTCGCATTTTTCTTTATAAGATATGGTATTTCCAGGATTTTAGGCCCAGTTTCATTTTGTATTGTATTTGTTTCCATATTACATTTGAATAACTAATTGTTTGTCCACTAAATTAAATGATGTTTATAATTTGAAATATTGACCATTGAATTTTCATTTGTAACATAGCTTCATCAGTAAAACTATTATTTTAATGTAGGTATCATATTTAAATAATTTAAGCATATATTAATTTTTTTCGGGCATCGTCAAAATAATGATGGAACTTTTTCCAGGAAGTGGTGCCACAGAAGTGATATCACTTCCTCTGACGTCACATTTTCTAATCCATACAAACGTTCTTTTTGCAACACCCAAAATGTTGTATATAGGTCAAAAATGTTGTATTTATGTCTGATTTGACTATCGGACACGTTTACGTCATTATTCCACCCCTTCTCAATGTGCCTCAGTGTCCCTTCTGTCAATGAGAGAGACTGCGGTACGTTATGCAAGTGTTCTGCACTACAAAATGCAAACTATTTCTTACGGCATGTTGGCTTGTTACGAGAAGGCGACTCGGGTGGAGTCGTTGTGTGTGTGCCGTGTAACAACTTGTTAAAGGCCATTGGCGCCAGTGGCATTGTTAAAACAGATTTTGTTTCCCTTATGTTGAAAACTTATCCCGTGGTAATTCTTCCAGACTTCCACTGTACTTTAACCCCCTTGGGCAATTCACACTGAACACTTTAAAGCCCACATGTGACAAGTTTTGTTTATATATAAAAGTTTTGGTGCTTTTGAAGGAGAATAATCAACTTCAATTAGTGTTTGTATTCAATTATTGCAGGGTAAGGCCCCCCCCCCTCCCCCCCGGAAATTCAATTGCTTCCTAATACGGTACTTGGCAGTATACAATCCTTTCCTATCTTACAAACATCCGTTCTGTAATAGTGTAACCGATGTTAACTTTGTGGCCACTGTAAAAATAAAATGTGTGTTTATGCTGAAAAAAAACAGGCCTTTAGGCTTTGGAACAGTGCTATTTGGAAACTGCGGAAAAATTTGTCAGGATATTCATTAGCGAGGCAGAGTTCAGTGATGCAGGGTAGTCCGTTTGTTAAAATGATTGACACAGCACCTCGGGGCATACCCGGTTGCCGAACTGGCAAATGTCGGTAATAGCCATTTACAGAAAGAACCCATTCCTCACAGCCTCCTTTTACCAGCAGCTTTCTCCCCCCCCCATAAACCACCCCCTAACACAACAAGCATTTTACCCACCCAGTCAGTCAGTCACCACTCCCTGCCTAGAGCAGGAAAACTACTCAATCTTTCGATTGATGCATTCATACTGAGCAAGATAGGCATCGTAATGAAGAGTTCCAACGGTTCAGTAAATTACAGAGTGCATTTAATTGTTTGAAAAATTGCGCGCATTGCCAAGGCAGAATATCTATTGCAATAAGGTGCGCTAAGGACAGAGATGGCACAAGCGAGATAAGTTCGTGTGCAGGGAGTGAGATGGATTGGTGGCATTCGCGGGACCATGAGGGATGGAAATGGCATGAGTTATTTTTTGGAATTTTGGGGAGGTCTTTATATAGCAGTGGAAGGAATTCGGCTGATGTAGATGATGATGATGATAATATGCCAAATGTTTAAATTGTAAATGGGATGATGGGAAAACCCCACAACACCACGCAATGCCAAAGAACAACTCAGCACATTCATTCATAACGTGGCAATTTGCCCGAAACGTCGTCAAACAATTCCGTTAATCCTGGGAAAGTGTGTTTTAGGCTTGTGGGCACAGCCCACTCTAGTAACGGATATTAAATGCTGAAAGTGTTGGGTTATGGGGGCCACAAGCCCACTCCCCCTTCGTGTCCCCACCCCGATAAATGGTTCAGCTGCGTCGTGAGTGTACCACTCGAATTATGCAGTCAGACTGAACGAGTTTCGCGGCGTGCTATTACGGGCTCGGGCTTCATTAAAAATATATGATGATAAAGATAACCCCCCTCATTGGACGGATGATACGAGTAGGCCATTGTGTGTCGTCGTCATAACGGTCAATTTTTTAAAAAAATCGCCCGCAACAACGATACGATTGGGGATGACACTTTGCAATGATGCCCCCTCCCCCTGCTGCGATGAAACTTGCAGGCCTTGTTTGTGAAGCGCAGCCCCGTGAAAAATGAAATATGAACGCGTGAATACCGCAGCGTGCTGCGTTGCTGTCATTAACGTGCATCCCCGTGTGTGTTGCTTTTGTTTCGTTTCCTGTTTGCTGCAGTTTATCTGCAGCTTGTGCGTTGCCATTTTGGTGGAGTCGGTTGTGGGATTGATCATCATCTTAGGAAAAGAACAGGTGAGTGTTCTCCACAAAGCGGACTATTTACTGTTTTATTAATTACTCTAGTGACCTTGGTGTTTGGTTTTATTATTTACTCTTTGGCAGTAGTATTTGTTGAAAGCAAATCCTCTGGATAACACATATGCAGTAACAGAAAGCACACATCCAATTGCGTATATTTTCTGATTTATTATCAATGTAGTGCAAAAAAATTGTTCTCGAATAAGTAGATGTTTGTGCCGAACGTTGAACGTCCAGCAGAAATATATTCACGACATCTCAGCTTCAATTGTTGTTGATCTGTGACCCTGCGTTAGCCTGTGGGCTCTAACCTTACCTACCTCTCTCTACCTGAATTGTAATTTGTGATGCACAGACCAGGTTGCATTGTGCGTTGAAAGAATGTCAACGGTTTTATTTCCCTTGCACATCAACATGTCCTATGATGTGAAAACTCGACGTGGTGTTACGGGGCCATTGAGATGGCCCAACTCAATGGGGAATTTTAATTCTGTAAGAAATGGACGGCTGGCTGTTCGATGTTTGTGCAGCTTAAAGCGGTGGCTTTGGACTCTGGCGATAGACCACGGTGAATTCAAATCATGATCACGCTTACCATCGATGGGGCCTCGTCAATGTTACACTTTTTAAGAGTTCAGCATCTCTTGTGCAATTTACACATGTAATTCGATGCTACATTCGGCATCTTGGTCTGTTAAACTGAATTCTCCCTCTGAGTGAGTTGCATCACCGAGTGTCACGGTACGGCTCGTGGAATATAACGCTTACAGGACGACTTCTGAAGCCGTCCCTGACCCCCACATAAGACGGCACAATTTCTCACACCTTGAAAACGATTGTTTGTTGTGTAGTGTTGCATGACAATGAAACTGACATTTTTTTAATTCTCAAGAGCTCCAATATAATTGGGGCTTTAGTCTGCCAGTAGGGGTGCGATAATTGCTATTGTATAGTTCCAATTGTGTAATTTGTGTCATATTAAGTGAAAAAATCAAACCTACCATTATGGCTTCCTGTGCACTCATCAAAGCATTGCCTCTACATGTGTTTCCTTTCATCAGGAACATTTTTTTTACTTTGAACAATCGAAATCGTAGTATTTGAGTCGGTATCGGTGGTGCAGTGGTTTGCACATTGTGCTGTGGGGGCCGACAGTCCACCCCACCGCCCTCGCTGGGCAGGAGGGGGCGTGACGTCCGCCCCTTCTGCTCCCTCCTCCACCGCATCGATCGGCTCTCACCGGGCCCCCGCCGACCGAGTGATCGGCCCCCCGCGCTAGCGCCCTCTCTGAGGGACATCGCTAAGCTGCTGGCTCACCGCCGCACTGGAGTAAACCCACACTCGCCCGTGTACACCATAGCCAACGCTAACGCAGGGCCGTGAACGAGCTCGCACCTGCGGGCGACTGATCTCCTAGCACGCGTGCGCACACGCTGCGGCTCCGTGTTCACTCTCCCGTGCACACCGCCGCTCACGCGAACGCTGTGGACAGCGGCACGCTGGCGCCCGCACCTGCGAGCGATTATCTCAACGCGCATTCATGCCGCGGCCTAGCCCTCACTCTTGCCACGCGTCCGCCCACGCAGCCGCTCCACACAGGAATCACAGACACCACACCGATGCTCTGTACTAACTTTTATTCGCGGCGGAAATACCCACTCCCTGGGGGGAATATTTTGCGAGAAGAGCCTAGCCTACTGCTGCCTAAGTGCCAAGTCACTCAAACTTCCTACCACGTACCTCGAAGCTGTACACGGTGAGAGTCGGAGGGAGAAGGGCGAGAGAAAACTTCACCTATCACTGCCTCGTAGCGGCACTCGCTGGCATCACACGGATGCTGTGAGCGGCTCGAGCAGGCAGGACGGCAGGGAGTGGGTCTTGGCGGCCCAGAGGTTGAAGACAAGAGTGCGAGAGTCGTCCTGGGCTCCCCTTTTTATACCCCGAACTTAAAAGCCCGGGGTGACGTCGTACCACGCAGCCTATCGAGCGCCTACCTCTGATTACCGCTCACTTGGACCTTGTGCCACGGGGAGTGCTGCTGCTCTGCCCACCCGTTGTTCTCCCGTGCTCATTAATTCTGACCTCCTGGTCTGCCCTTCTTGCCTAATATTCCACCCTCAGCCTCTACCAATGTCGTGAATGACTCATTGCGGCTGGCCCAGTGAACCTCTTTGCGCCCATACAATTTTAAGCCAACTCAGGGGCACCGCAGTGTGACCTGTCCTGCGAGGGTCGGCCAATCTCCTGGCACCGGGAAACCGCGGGACTTTCCTCCTAGGGGCCCTTTGGATTAAAACCCGTCGTGCCAGGCAATCCCCCGCCAGGCAGGGCACTTCGTGTGTGCGCTGCGTGTTGGTGCTCGGGGTGTGTGCTCGGTGTGGGGGCCAGGGGGGAATCGCGGCGCTGCCGAGTTGCTTCGCGGCCGTGGCACCACAGTGCTACGAACACAGCGACCCGAGTTTGAACCGGTCCTCAGCCTCCCCCTAGGTCGACTCAGCCTCAAATGAGTACCTGGTGTGGCATGTAGCAAACATCTTCACTGGGGAGACAAAGGCAGCCAGGTGTGGTGCTGGCCACCCACCCCCTCGGTTCGTGTACAATGCCGGCCTTCTTAGGTGCTCGCTAACAGCACTTGCCACAAAAGTTTGTGCCGTCTATGGGGGGGGGGCATCTTTGTCTTTGTAGTATTTGAAGGACGCTTCTGCCGAAGGCGCCGTTCTGTCACTCCTCCTTGGTTCTCGCCAACGTGCAAGTCACGCATAGGGCCCCCCCCCACTTCTCATAACAACTCTAGCGGGTGGCCTGTAGCTGACTTGGTGTGGGGGCAACAGCTGCTTGTCAAAGCAGATCATTGTGTTCTCTTGCGACCACCAGGGAGATGGAGGTATTTGTTGTGCGTCCCTACAACACCGTTGTTTGTTGTTTGTTGAACGCGACCAGGTGAAGTGTCTGCTTAGTATCATAACTGATACATTCATGTGCGCCTCTTATTTTGTTAAAATTGGATTAATAAACACCGCACCGCGTCATTTAGTATTAATAATAATAGCGTGAATTTATTTAACTTGATTAATACTTTGAATTTTTTCAGGAAACTATGTTTTAAACTGTTACGGTCAGGGAGGACGCGCGCACTGCTCTGAAAACCGGCGACCTGGGATCGATTCCCGACCACGGCCGACATCGGTGACGGGTGATGTCTGATCCAGGGTCGTACGCCCTCCACGAGGTCAACTCACTGGTGTTGTTAAACATCAGCGCCAGGGGAAACAAAGGCGGCCAGGAGTGGTGCTGGCAACTGGCCACTCCAGTTGGTGTCTGTCAACTTATTTGGGTCACTAAACAATGGTTCTCAGGGCCGCTACGCATGGGAAGGCGGAAATAGTTTAACATCAACCAAGGACAAAAGAAGTGAGAAAGGCGTTTGAAAATAACTAAAGAGAGAAAGCCATTTGAATGACAGTTGCCCATGGAAACGAGATTCGTTTGTTATCGCCGCAATGCAACGGAATGGTGGAAACACGCTGCTAAACCACACATGCACGCACGGCAACAGGACTTTCATTCAAGGAAGTCTTTTCTCAATGAAACCCCAGAATATCTGCCGTTAATAAGCAACCGGTGTTCGGTACGACTTTATACTACCGTTACGGAGGCATCGGTATCGATCAATGGGCAAGTCAAATCAAGCACCACTCTTCTGTGTGGTGATGCAATCAACATAATAACAACCCCGATATCAAAAGTAGTAAGAGTGTATGCACGACTCAATATCAATAAGGGCTTTATACCACAGGCCCCCAAAGTAGCTGTGATACTTATTGATGAATGGACGCACAGCCTGATATTCTTGGTCAGAGTCGATGAGCGGGCGTCTTCTCTTGCATGTACGAGTCGTCGCACACGAGATGCCAGATCGACGTTAACAGCACGATGCGCGGATACACAAAAATCATGAATTGACCAATGTATACAAGTTACTTATTTCATTTCTTATTCGATCCATCCCACGAGAAAGAACCTCCCCTCTTTCCAATTGACGAAAATTTCCGCGGTGTGGCGCCTGCCTTTTTCAGAGGTGGATATTGTTGGTTTATCTTGACACGACTGCGAGCCCGTTCCCTTCATGGTCAGCAAATGGGAGGCATTCTCCACCTCTCTCTGTGCCCAGGTTAGCTCTCGTTGCTGTGTTGCGTTGTGACTACAAGGTCACTTCGACTCTGGTCAATGGCCTCAAGTCCTCTCAGTTAAAACACTGATATAGATAGAAAAAAATATGCTATGCAACCACAGCAACTAATTCATTATTATGCTGAACAATTTTTTTTAATGGTATACCCACGACACCACACCGCTCCTTTTGTGTGTGGTGCCAGCCTTCATAGGAGCTCGCCAACAGCACTTGCCCCAACAGTGTCCGTAAAGATCCCCCATCGTTGGCTTTGAAATAATAACAACCTCTTATTTTATAATGCGCCTTTCATATTGAAGTATCTCAAAGCGCCGTACGTAAAGATACAACTGCACCCACAAGTACAGATACAATCTAAGCGAAATAGGAAGCTGATAATAGCAATGTCAATGACCAGTCTTGAAATTCGAATGAAATGGAGATCTATGTTAATAGCGAGCAATAATAATAATTACAGAGTAATCCAATCAGACAATTCATTTTTTGTTGTTATCTTAAGTTACGGGGGGAAGCCCGCAGCACAAATAGGTGCGTTTTAAGATGGTGATTTAAATTCGTGAAACGCACTCGAAATCCCCCAATGGACGGAGGAAGGGGATTCCACAATCACAGAGCCTGGTGTGGACGTCTCTTGTAGAACATCACAGTCTTGTGCAACTGCCAAAGTGCCACCTACTGCAATGATGTGATGTTTTCCCCCTTAGCATCCATAATCATTACTCAGGCATATGTTCAAGGTGTGCGCGATGTCAATTTCAAATTGCGGTTTGGTGTGGGTCTGGGTGTCTCTGTCACCGTCGGG